GGGAGGAGGGGGTCAGTGGGGGGAGAGGGAGACACCTGTGATACTTCCAGCAATAAAGATAAACCCAAAACAGGAATGCTGAGGCGAGCCTCCTGCTGAAGGACTGAGGATGGTTTTCTTGGTGTGTCTAGGTACAAATCGAATAAGCTGCGCCATTCAAGGGGCCCACGAGGGTGGTATTTTTGCACTTTGTATGTTAAGGGACGGCACCCTGGTGTCGGGAGGCGGGAAGGACCGAAAGCTCATTTCCTGGAATGGAAACTACCAGAAACTTCATAAAACAGAGGTAAGACATCGAGCAGGGCTCTCAAAACCCGTTTTGAGCCTTAAACTGTTACCCCGACTGGCTTCCGCGTTGGTTTGAAATCGGTAGCGTACAGTTTTGAAAATCGCTTACATAAAATTTTATGAAGCGGCATAATACTTTGTTAAGATCCCAGAAGCCGTTCAAGTCGCAACTACTAAAATGGAATTAGATGTGTAAGATTTGAGGTGGTGACGTCGTTTCCCATTGAGGATATTTTTATAATAGAGCCAATCTCACTTTTCCGAGGGAATGTGACCGACGTTTTGCTTTATCACTAAAACCTTTCTCCGCCTTTCACTTTAATTTCCAGCGTGTTGCTCTGGAGACATCCTCACTTTCAGCTCATATTTATTGGGCAGCTACTTTGGGCCTGGCTGTGTTCTCTGGAGCTCTGGGTCCTTGACTCTGCTTCAGCTCCTGTGGCCTGGTCAGCAGCCTGCGCCCCCATAGGCGGCAGAGGCGAGAGCCTGTTACACCTTCCACGCACTCACTGAACTTTCTCCCCCAGGCCCCAGGAAACCATGGGCAGGCAGGTGCCGGCACCAGCCTCACGGTTGATGGTGTCTATTCCTAGCTTGGATGGCGCATGTTGGGGGACGTGTCCAACCTCCGAGTCGGATGCTCACGACACGGCACCGCCTGTAACACGTGTTCCACCAGAGAGCCACGGGCACGCACGGTGCTTTGGCTGTAGGAGGACTTGGTTTTGTTGATTATGGCTTTTTTTTTTTTAATTCTCATTCAAGGATAAGTTTTTATTGATTTTTTTAGAGAGAGAGAGAAACATCGATCTGACAGAGAAACATCCATTGGTTGCCTCCTGTACACACTCCAACTGGGGATCGAACCCACAACGTAGGTGTGTGCCCTGACCTGGAATCGAGCCCGCAGCCTTTTGGTGTGCAGGCAACTGAGCCAGTGCTGATTTTTTTTTTATACGTCTTTATTGATTTCAGAGAGAGGAAGGGAGAGGGAGAGAGAGAGAGAGAAACATCAATGATGAGAGAGTCATTGATCGGCTGCCTCCTGCACCCCCGACTGGGGATCGAGCCCACAACCTGGGCACGTGCCCTGACCAGGAATCGAACAGTGATCTCCTGGATCCTAGGTTGATGCTCAACTGCTGAGCCACGCCAGCCGGGCACCAGTGCTGATTATTGCTCTTAATAAAGGAAGGTGTTCGTCTGAGCTGAGAAACCACTTCCCCTTCACGGAGATTTTAACTGACGTTACAGTGAGACTTGACTGGCAGTTGATTGAACACATACCTGTGTTAAGTGATCAGCACAGTGGAAGCCCCGAAGCCTCCTCGGTGTCACGGAAGGTCCCCACCGCGTCTTAGCTCCGTGATTCCTCTCCCGGCCCGACTGCCACCGCCTGTCCTCAGCGGCCCAGACTCGCTGGAGGCAGGCTCGGGCCAGGGCCGGCCGCCGCGTCCCCTCTGGGACCGGCCCAGAGCCGAGCACCGGGGCTCGCTGCAGCTTTTGTTATTTTTTATAGAGCAAAAACCTCCACTTCTGCAAATAGTTCTTTTGAAATTTATTTTTAACATTTGGATAATTCCACGCGTTTACCAACATGAGCAGTGGATTTCAAAACTAAGCAGTGAAATTGCCGAAGAATCCACCATTTTAAGTCACAGTGCATTTTAGAAACTCATCATGACGTGCAGTATAATTTTTATCTCTCAGCTTTTACCTGCTGCTGCTCTGTGAAGTCATCACAAGTAAAGGGTGAACTAACCAGGAGTATTTCTTACTGTTTAATCTTGTCAAGAAAGTGCTTTATTCTTATTTTCTAACAGCCTTACTCTTGCTGACTCTTTTACGGTTCATAAACTGTTTGGAGTTTAAAAGTAAGCTTTGGGGTTTTGACCGTTCACTCAACCAGTACTGACTGCGGACCTTTCTCTGTCTCTCCGTGTGCGTGTGCATGCGAGAGCAACTGTGACAGGAGCTGTCATAGTATATAAACAAGTGTTTTGAATGACGGAGCTCCTCATTTAATGACATCTTACATACCTTTTCCGTGCAGATTCCAGAGCAGTTTGGCCCAATACGGACGGTGGCCGAGGGCAAAGGGGACGTGATCTTGATAGGCACGACCAGGAACTTTGTTCTGCAGGGCACCCTGTCGGGGGACTTCGCCGCCATCACTCAGGTGCGTCTGGGCAGGCCCGCCCCACGCATCCGTGTTGCGGGATGTTAGAGTGTGATGAAGCGCCACACGGAGGTCATGCCTGTGGCTTACGCTGACGGGGCCCGCCTGAGCTGCTGGGTTTCGGTTTGCTGTCCTAGCTGAAGCTGGGGCAGAAGAGAGCTCATGAGGTTAAATAAGACACGTGCAGCAGGCCTGGCTTGTCACCTTTGAAGGCCCCTGGGCGTTGGTTGCAGGGTCCCAGAGAGCACCCATTTGTCTTGGTTCTTGCAGGGTCACACCGACGAGCTCTGGGGGCTGGCCATCCATGCCTCAAAACCCCAGTTCCTGACCTGTGGGCACGACAGACATGCCACTCTCTGGGACGCCGTCGGTCACCGGCCCGTCTGGGACAAAATAATAGAGGTAGCCGTGCACATTACATCCCGTTTTTCTTGTAGAGACTCACCTGGAACATGTTTGTTTGCATGAAATTGAGAATGATATAAAATTGTCCCAACACAAACGTCATTAATTTATCTCCTTCGAATTGTGTTGCTACAAACATCACCGAGGGGTCTCGTCCATGTAATTGTGCAGGTTGCTGTTGAATTTTTCAACAGTGAGTCATCCCCTCGGGGTGGTGGCTGGGTTTCCTGACGGCAGCCGGTCCAATGGCTTCAGTGCCAAGAAGCCCTCGCCCTGAGCCTGCCTTCTGTTCACAGCACACCTTCAGAATGAGAATATAAACTATTCTAAAGGCATAGAGTTTCTTTCCACAACTTTTCAGTGATGACGGCAACACTTTAGTTTTTCGTTTTTTAATTTTTTTTTTAATTTATTGACTTTTTAGATAGAGGGGGGAAGGAAGAGAGAGAAACATTGATTTGTTGTTCCACTTACTGATGCATTGATCGGTGCTGAACTGTCCTCTCCTGCGTGTAACACAGCCGTGACTGCACACACTGAGCACCTTGCATACCAAGCACTGGGCGTGTATCAATTATCCTTCACCCTGCCCGGCCAGCGTGGCTCAGCGGTTGAGCATGGACCTAGGATCCAGGCGATTGGGGTTTGATTCCCGGTCAGGGCACATGCCCGGGTTGCGGGCTCGATCCCCAGTCGGGGGCGTGCAGGAGGCAGCTGATCAATGACTCTCTCATCACTGATGTTTCTGTCTCTTCCTCTCCCTCTCTCTCTCTGAAATCATTAAAGATATACTTAAAACATAAAAAAAAAATATCCTTCACCCTGGCAGCAGCCCTGTGAGTTGCAGATTTTTCACCCTGATTCTGTTGATTAGGAAACTGAGGCTTAGAGGAGTCACATTGCTTTCCAAGGTCGCCGAGTTGGTGACAGAGTCCGTGCTCACACCCAGCTCAACTGCTTCCCAAACCCGGGGTCTCCACCACGGGTTGTGAGCCAGAAGCACATCCCGCGCCCTAATGACACGCATAGTCCTGTGTAAGGGGTGCCCCTCTGTGGACCCACACACCCTCCAGCCCACACAGTCGCATTGCACCCCGTGTGCCGGGTCTGAGTCTCAGCACCTGCATTTTGCTTTCAGAGAAGGTCAGGCCACTGGTAGAGCTGAGCATGAGATGCCAGGGCCTGAGGGGTGACCCTGCTGCTCAGAGCAGAGAACAGGTGTGACCCGAGGTGGCAGGGCGTGGCTGTAGGAAGTGGTGGTGCCCTGCCTTGTAACTGTCCTCAGGTGGGGGCTTCATGCATGAAAAATACAGGAGGGGTTTGTGCAGATCTGACAACCACACTGACACAGCAGGGACAGTGACCGTCGGGGGGGCAGCCTTCCCTGAGGTCCCCGTCAGCACTGCAGCCCTGCTAAAAGCAGTCCCGGTGGCCCACCCCCTCCTGTACCAGACTGTGGGCCCACTTGCCTGGCATAAGGGTAGGGGTGCCAAACCGGACGCCAGGAATAGCTGCAGTTACCTCCTGCCTGCTTTCTCCACGGGCCTTGTGACTTTGGACAGGAGCCCCCTAAACCTGTGTCATCTAAATGACGTTAGGAGCCTCAAATGAATTATATGCTCGAGTCTCAAGTGGTTGTGACCTCTGTCTGTGTGTCAGTGGCACCTCAGTTTAATTATAGCTCGCACTTTGGAAAAAGCATTGGAGTAATGGGATTAATACCTGAAGAGCTTCGAGTCTGTTTTTTTAGTTTATCCAGTAGGATCTCTATGCCGCCTCCTAATTCCGATCCTACTGCTGCTCTGCATTTGGTCTTCCTGTGATTAAACCTCTCCCCATTTCAGTTTGTCCTAAACGCCCCGCCAAGTGACCTTGTAACACCCAGATTCGATCAGCCACCCTTGTTGTTGAAAGAAAAAAATCGCTCACTGTGTTATTTCCTAGTGACCACAGTCCTCAGCGTAGCAGCGCAGCCCCCATCCCTGGGGTCATCCACACCATTCCCGCCCCTGCCCTCTGTGTCCTAAACCCTCCACCATTTCTCAGCTAGGCCCAGGCTGCCCTGCTTCCCCCTCCTTGGTCATGTTATTGCCCCCTTGCCCCCTAGTGTGTCCACTTTCGCCCCCACCACCCATGAGTCTTCCTGAGCTGGGAGGCCCAGGCAGGCCGTGTGCCCCCACCCAGCGTCCCCACCTGACCTCATCCAGCTCCCCGACCCTGGGGCCCCACAGCTTGTTCTCACCTCTGTCATCGACCAACATGCCATCTCACCGGTATCACTTAGTGTTGAACACACGATATCCCCAGACCAAAGCCTGCAACGGGCTCTACCCGTCTCGGGTCCTCCTAGGGCTGGGGACGGTCTTGTGCTCACCCAGTGCCGACCTAATGGAAAAGGCGCAGTGGTCACGCGTCAGACGGGTGGCGCTCACCTTTCGGCCTGGGGGTCACCTGAAGGGGCTTCCGAGACTTAGAGGAAGTGCGCTTGCTTCTTGGTCTGTCGCCTGACCACTGTGGCCATGAAGAGATAGAGGAGAGAGAGAGAAAGTTCTGCGTGGTCCACGTAGAAAACACTCCCTTCCCGGGGAGAGAGGAGGCCTTCAAAGGGGGCCGCGGGGCCCTGAGGGACTGGGTTGTGCTGTGTGATTTTATGCGGCAGTGCTGTGTCTGGCCATCAATTTACACTCCTTTACAATATTTTAGGGTCCAGCTCAGTCTTCTGGTTTTCATCCTTCAGGGTCTGTGGTTGCGGTTGGAACACTGACTGGGAGGTAAGTCCCCAGCAGCGGGCTGCGCCCTCAGTGCACGAAAGAGGCGCGTGTCTGTGTTTCCCCAGGCTGGGCCCCGGGCCGCATCTCCCAGCTTCTGGGGACTTAGCAACAGTTAGGTCAGAACTCAGAAGGGAAACTAAGACGGTGGGTGGTCCTTCACGTCCTGGGCCTGGGGGGCATCTGAGGAAAGCTATGGCCCCCTCTCCTGGAAGAGTGCCCGCACACGTGCATGCCCACACAGGTGCACATGCACACACGTGTGCACACAGACCCACATGCATACACATGTGCACACAGGCGCGCGCACACATGCGCACACACGTCCAGTTTCACAGGATGCACAGCTCCTCCAGCCTTCATCTGCTGCTGGTGGGAGGAGCCTCAACTTTGGAATTGGGCAAAAAAGCATTTCAAAGCTCCAAGAATTTAAAAATGCTTTTTCTTGCTGCCCTTTCAAAATTTTAGAAACTCCCCAGATCCTGAGCCTCATACTCACACTCAGTTCACACTTACTGACCACACGCCTCCGACAGGCCAGACAGCAGGTCTGTGCTTGATCCCAGCTCCCCCCTTGGCCGCTGTGCGTCTGAGCCAGTTGCGCGGCCTCTGAGTTTGTCTCCTGTTACAGACTGCGACCGTGGGAGCTGCCTCGCCGCGCTGCACTGGTGCTCGCGGGACGATGCAGGGAGAGCGTTAGCTGGCGTGCCAGCAGGCAGTTTCCATGGTCGTCGTCACTGTTTTATCACTCCCAGTGTACGTTTATGCTGCTTGTCGTGGTGTATACACCTAGTACGGTTTAATTCAGATAGTTTTGGTGGTCTCCTCCTGTCCTTCCGCTAGAAAGCACACCCCTCAGGCTGCTGTTACGACTGGAGTGTGTGTATAAAGGAGTAACCGTTTATAAGCCACAGGTCTAAGCATTTAAGAGCTGGGCACCTGGTATCTAAGGGAATTCTCATGGAAATGTTTGCACAGCCGCACACGTGGGTGTGCACACACACACCCCTCCTTCCTTTCAATGCTCTTGGAGACACTGAAGGTCCAGCTCAGCAGCTCTGTTGAATGGCTGACAGCCAGTCCTTGCCGTCACCTGCCTGCCGAGTGTGTG